AAAAAAAAAAAGTAATACCTAATGGGGATGATGTAACTACTTCATATTTGGGGTATTCGATTATCTTGCATCAAATTCAGATTCCAATCGTACTCCAATCTTAAGTGATATGTTGTGATTAACTGCCACTTTTAAAATAATAGTTAGGTTTGGAATAATTTTTGAAGTATTGATTACTATTTCATTTGATAGCATTTTACTTGAGTGTGCTCTCACACCACACATTTGACTGTTTTATGAAGAGTGCACAAATTTGTGAACTTCATATTGGTATAGAAAGTTCATTTTACTGCCTGTTGTCGTCACTTCCCTATTCTCTTTATTCCATCTTGTCTCGAAAGTCTTATTTGAAACAATTGTGTTTTGTTTGAAAACATGTGTATAAGATTTTTAAAATTTATCGTTTTAGTTTTCTGATTGTTTTAGCTATTATTCAACACAAAAATAGAAGATTTTTCTTAATCTATGTTAATTTCTGTAAATCCCCATTAGTACCACATTTTTAAGTGTAACTTGTGAAACATACTTAAAGTCAAGTTGATACCAGAACTCTTTCTGGACAATCACAGTAACATGATGATTTTTCAAACTGCCACTGTCCTTAACCTTTTGTGTTGCGGCAAATTTCTCCTCCTTGGGTGTTAAAATGTTGGTATACTACATGTGTATGTCTTAAATTTCCCACGTTTTCATACAATTCAATTAATCTCCATCCCCTGGGGATTATTTTCTGGGCACTAAGTGCCTTACAAGTCACATAGAAGCGTATTTTCTAGAATTTTGAGAATAATTTACAGTTGAGCATGATTGCAAAGAACAAATTATTTTAATGCTCAATCAACTTCTGAGTACTGCCAGAGATGTATGACCTACTTTAGTGCCAATATAAATGTTAGTGAAGTAGCATAAAGCTCAATCAACTCTCATTGGCCAAGAGAGTGATAACTAGCTGCACTGTCCCTTCCAAATCTTTTTTTAACTACTCACCACTCCTCTTACCAAATTGAAAACATTCCTGTTATGTAAATTGAAGGTTTTATTAGGTTTGACTCGTCCCTACATTTTTACCCACTGTACAACCCTTTGTAAACATATGGGGAACGGCTTTATTTTTGTTTTTTCTACTGCCACTATCATTATCTAATGTATAAATCATCTTTCTTTACTATCCAGAAATTGCACCCATCATAGGACTGAAGGATATTTTCAATTACTCAGTACAAGGGCTTGTTATTGATGTAATAAGTAATAACTAATAATTTTGCTAAAGGCACTCTGTAATTAATGTACTATAATAATCAAATATGTACTGTGTAGGTTCCATAAATTCAAGTCATGTTGAAAACAAACCAAATGCAGTAGATATTCTTCACAAATTTGCACCACTCATTTGAAAATTTGTGTTTGGTAAATGGGCTTTGGGGCTTCATCAATAGTATTTAAACATCTAGATTTTACTCCCATGCATACATGTGTTCGTTTATATATACATATGTATACATGTGTATGATATATACACAAACATTTAAAAACTTTATTTATTTGTGTTGTTATAATGTTCTATTCTTGTGTTGTTTGACTGTGGAAAATAGGGTTCTAGTCCATCTCACTTTCACTAATATGAGAGTCTTTTGAGTTCCTTGTCCTGTAAGATTTAAGTGTAAGGAGGGCAAAAGTCCGATGTTGGTGAAAATCTGACATTCAAACCCAAGATTTGGCTTTATTACTCCTTCTGTTCTCTCAAAGTTGAACATATGCCGCGGCGCTCCGGCAAAATTCGAGATTCACAGCGGAATCGGAGAATATTGGGTTTCGCCGGTGAAAGTCGGACTTTCGCCCGAACAAGCATTGTTTAATATCTCTGTACCCAATCGTTTCTTGGGTGATTGCTGTCCTTTTTTTGTTTTAATACTCCTCAACAGGGTAAGTCACTTTACCTCTTGGTTCATAAGTGATGTGTCCTGACCAAAATTTCACCATCTGTAGTCATTTTAACACTGTATATATACACATATGGAAGAAAATTAGTGACTTGATGTTTTGTGGTAGACTTGTAATCCTGTTTTTCTTTTTGTTGTTATTGTTGTGAGATATGTTATAATATTTCAATATTTTAAGTGTAATTTCTTTTAAAGAAATATTGGACGGAATAAGATTTGAAAATTGTGGCTTGATAGCCCATTGTTCTAGGTTCACTTCATACAAACTGATTCAATCATTTTTATTGAAATGATAAATTATACCTTTTTGTTTAGAAAAAGAACTTTTAAAGTAGGTAGCTGCTCACAATTTAATGTTTGGTAGCTTGTTCATGCACAAGAGTCTCGAAACTAAAGTCCTAAGGAACAGGGAAGTCATGAATATGTCACAGAACGTCTCATACTCGGAGTCACTTTTGTCCATAAGTGACTTCATTTGAGAAATCATATTAGTGTTTATGACCCCAAAATGACTTCATAGTGACTAATATCCTGCTCTCTTTAGGATGGTTTAAATTTAAATAAAATCCCTAGTCACGCAGTGTGCATAAGCAAAAATGTGCAACCAATGTGCGTTTGTGCTACAAAGGGGACAGCTCAAATTTGTGTTTCTTGATAGTCTCATCATTTTACCACTGCCATTTCATATGACTTATACATCCCACTGATATTCATCCATAACTCCTGACACCTATGTGATGGGGTGTGTTTAATGATGTTTATTTGATGATCAAAAGAATAATCAGACACATTATGTTCTTTTACTAAATTGTCAATACTGAAAATTTGATTATTTGTGTCAGGTGTCTCTCTAGTCTCTGTAAATGTGTTATTATAATGTAAACTTACATAGACAAATTTGGTGTTTTAGCCATGAAATGTATTAATCTCCCATAAATTTTGAAACTCATATATTGTTTATAATTTTAATTTATGCATTTACTGCTATGCTATTGGTGTTGGCAAAACTATGAAAACAATGTTTCTGTTACTGCAATAAAACTATCTCTGATTTAAATTTTCTGATTGCTATCAAAGTTTTTTGTTTGGTGATCTTTGGAGCTCGGTTTGGTGCCTGGTGCCTGGTAAAAGTGCCCTCAACAAGTGGAAATTTATTGGTGGGGAAGACCAGACCACTCAACACAGAACAGCGACGCGGTTTGGTTGATGGCGTGTCGTGTGGTTTAGAGTGTGGTGTGAACGGGTGGATGAACTGCAAGGGCAGAGGATGTCATGCCCTTCCACCCATATGCCCAGTAAAGGGTTCCCAGTGCTCGCGGCTCGCGCCCTGCGCCCCGCGAGGCCTGCGGGCCTTGCGCCTGTCCGATCAACTACCAATAGCCCCCCCCCCCCCTCTTCCTACTCGCACATTAATGCCCCCTCACCCCTCCCTTCCCCCCAGCCACCTCGCGCGAGGGCAAACGCGAACGCGAGCGCAGTTGTGGGAGTCAGCTGTTGTGTACAGCGGCAACATTGACTATTCAAGAACAGGGAACGCCACATTGGAAGCATACGTATCTTCTACTGCCCAACCATGAGCACCATGATATGGAGAACTCGGCTTCCTGTGTTGGAGGTTAGTGTCTCTCCAGTTCCGAACAGTTCCCACCTACACTTATACCTTACTTTTCGAACGTAAACTTGTTGCCGCGTGGAAACAGGATTGTGTCATGTATGGCCTTGACGATGTGTAGCCTTGAGATTAACTGTGAAAGTATATTTTTGGCTGAGTTGAAAGTTGAAATGGTAGTTGTTTAATCTTTTCCTCTCTAGAAATCCTGGACGACCATGGCCGGGGCCAGATATATGAGCTCAGTACCCAACACCAAACTCTTCATTGATGGCAAGTTTGTGGAATCTAACACCAAGGAATGGATTGACCTCAACAACCCCGCCACTAATGAGGTACCGTATATTTCTTTCAATTTTCCTTTCACTATAGCCTCTAAATGCTTTTAGTACGTCAACTAACTTTTAAAGCCACAAAAAAAAAAAAAAAAAAATCCTTTTTATATTTTATAAATTTGAATTCTTTATACGACCCTAGGGTCTTCTATTCTTAATTCACAAAAAAAAAAGAAACCTTTTTAAAAATTTGAATTTTACTGTAACATTTGAAGTTTTAGAGCCAGCTAGGCATGTTTGCTTGTTGATAATTTGATAAGAGTTGTGTAATCCTCAAAAGAGTTGTGTGCTTGGGATCTTCTTATCAGCTTACAGCCATGTCAAAATTTTCTTGAGTCAATATGCTTTGTTTTCAATGATTATTTCTTTTTTCAGCTAGTGACCCGGGTACCTAAAAGCACAGGTCTGGAGATGCAAAAGGCTGTCGAGTCTGCTAAAAATGCTTACCCAGCATGGTCTAACACATCCATCATCTCAAGACAATCCATCATGTTCCGTTTTGCAGAGTTAATTCGTAAAAACATGGTAAAATGATTTCAACTTCATTAACACTCACCCTTTTTCAAGTACGTATTTTTATTTGAAAGGTTCGATTTGGTATGTTTCAGAAAGAGCTTGCTGCAAATATTACTCTAGAGCAAGGAAAAACATTAGCAGATGCTGAGGGTGACGTCCTGCGCGGACTGCGTGAGTTTAGCAGAGAATCTTTTTTGTGTTTTTGGAAGGACATTTGAGTTATTTATCACCTTATAATTGTTATTGTTTCAGAGGTCGTTGAACATTGCTGTTCTATTCCATCACTCCTCCAGGGAGAAACTCTCTCTGGTATTGCCAAAGACTTGGACACATATTCTTATAAATTACCTCTTGGTGTTTGTGCTGGAATTGCACCTTTTAATTTTCCTGCTATGGTTCCTCTGTGGATGTTCCCTGTAGCAATGACAGTAGGAAATACATATGTCATGAAAGTGAGTGTAAATTAAAAATTTTCCCACATCAAATTTTGCTTGTACATCTTAGTAAGCAATTTGTCTTTTGTAGCCATCTGAACGTGACCCTGGAGCCTGTATGATGCTTTTAGAACTTTTGAATGAAGCTGGATGTCCTCCTGGTGTTGTCAATGTTATTCATGGAACTCATGACTCAGTCAATTTCATCTGTGATCACCCAGATATTAAGGCAATTTCATTTGTTGGTGGAGACAAAGCGGTGAGCCATAATTTTAATAATTGTATTATTTACATTTTACATACTTAAGACTAACTATATGTAAATCTAGGGTAGGCACATCTATGAAAGAGGTGCTAAAAATGGAAAAAGGGTACAGAGCAACATGGGAGCTAAAAACCATGGAGTTGTTATGCCTGATGCCAACAAAGAGAATTCCCTAAATCAGTTGGTTGGTGCAGCATTTGGTGCTGCTGGTCAACGTTGTATGGCTCTGTCTACAGCAGTTTTTGTTGGTGAGGCCAAATCCTGGCTGCCCGACCTCAAGGCCCGAGTTGAAAATCTGAAAGTTAATGCAGGTTTGTGGTACAACTTACCCCTCATTAAAAGTCTAAAAAGACTCAGTTTAAAATTATTTTTCCTTTATAGTCTATGTGTTTACCTCCAATATTTATCAATCTATTTTTTTTAGGACATGTACCTGGAACTGACTTGGGTCCAGTCATCTCCCCAGAATCGAAGAAACGCATTTTAGACCTCATTGAATCTGGTGTTAAGGAAGGGGCAACCCTCTTGCTCGATGGTCGAGGTCTAGTTGTTCCTGGATATGAAAAGGGTAATTTTGTGGGTCCAACAATTTTGACTGATGTGACGGTAAGTAACTAACTTGAATTTGTATCCAGCCTGAGTGAATAAGAACAAAACAGTTACAAAAATTATGTATGATTTTCTTTTACAGCCAGGCATGCGTTGCTACAAAGAGGAAATCTTTGGCCCTGTTCTGATATGTCTCTCTGTTGATACTTTGGATGAAGCTATTGAAATCATCAACAAAAACCCATACGGCAATGGTGCTGCTATCTTTACCAACAATGGTGCTACTGCAAGGAAATTCACCTTTGAAGCTAATGCTGGACAGGTATATATTCACACGTACCTTGGAACAAAGGTTAAATTTAAGATCAACAATATGCCAGAGAAGATGTCATTAGTACTAGAGTTGTCAGTCGGGCAGGTATGGCCTACCAAGGATTGATCTCATCTAAAAGAACGTAGGGCGGGCTTAAGGTGTAGGCCAGACCCGTCCAATTGAAAACAGTAATTTGTACATCTTAAATCTAGAAACTTCATGAAAGCCAAATGAAAAGAATACTAATTGCATAATGTAAATTATCCAATCATTTGTGCTAATTCCTTGTATAAATTCTATAGGTTGGTATCAATGTACCCATTCCTGTGCCCCTGCCAATGTTTTCCTTTACTGGTTCTCGTGGTTCATTCCTCGGTGATCTTCACTTTTATGGCAAACAAGTAAGTATATTCTTCCATTAGCCACTTTGTCTTAACAAGATCAATTTTTCACTGATCTATCTGATTTTCTCTTAGGGAGTCAACTTCTACACCCAGACCAAGACAGTTACATCGAGCTGGAGGGAGCAGGATGTTACTCACAGCAAGGCAGCTGTTGCCATGCCTGTCATGAAGTAAGCACATTAATGCGTACTTTGGTGTTCTTCCAGTGATTTGTGCCATATTTGAAGTCTTCCATTTTATTAAAATAATTGATCACTGCTTGGCTCTTGAGTGAGAGTTTCATAATGTAACTGAAGTGTCACAATGCTACCTATATCTGTATACAAAATAGTACAAATAAGCCAGAAGTACAATTATAGTTGTTTCCTGTGTTGTATCTTGTCATGAAAACTCCACCATGGAGAGATTTTCGCATTTCTCTATTAACCGTATCAGGTGGAAAGTATTGTTTCTATAGTGTGTTGACCAGTTGACCTTATAACTAACATTTTATCATTTGCAAGTTTAAGAATCATGTAAGTGTAACTTTTTGGTCTGTTTTATTTTTAAGCAATTTCATGTGCCTTACTGTAAAGTAAATTGTAGGTTGACATAAATGAATCATTGTTGGTTTTGTACATTCCATTTAGAGGATTTTATATATACTATCTATTACTGCTTTGTCATATTTTATACCTTGTTAGAACATTTTTTTCCAGTATATTATGTACTAAAAGTCTGATATGCATTATTTTTGCTGCCTGATTTGTATATTTTTCTGTTTAATCCGTATTTTTGAATTGTTTTGAAAGTACCTAGCAGTTTTACTGATACTGAGAATGTGTGCTCTGTTCCACGTTCATAAATCACTGTATAAAAAAATTGTTTTTATCAGTAAAAATCCAAGATCATAATTTCATCTCTTCAAAATCTTTTCAACAGTTAATTTTACAGCATAAAAGATACTTCTAGCTCTTATTTCTTATGAATTACATCTTACATGATAACTTACTCGTTAGAAAAGATTCTGTCAAAGCCTGTTTTGGGGAAGTTAAGTAGTCCCAGATGACATCTTGGCAATTTGTCATATTGTGTTCAAATAATACTAAAATCTCCATCTTTGTAAAGCAATATGGTATTTGTATCCATTCTCATGTCTCACAAAGATCTTGAGATTCAACTTAAATAGATATGGTATTCACAGAAACACCCACACATACACACAGCACACAATTAAATTAAAATCAGTTCTTCTGTGAAGCGTAAGAAAGCTGGCACTCGTCCTTATTAACATAACAATATGGCAAATAGACCATTTTGATGAGCAATGTACAATAGATGGATGTCACAGAGCATCAACATCACTTAACTTGTCACAAAATGTGAAAAGGCTTTCAATCAATGTCATAATTCCGAAACTTCAACATTCCTCTCGTTCGGTAAATATTGAGACCCAGTGGCGAGAAATGTTCTAGTATTGTTTGCTGTGAAGAGGAATGGTGCCTCACGTGATGGACACTTGAAGTCTTTCAGTAGACCTGGTAGCAGAGTGGTCGACTTGAATCCGACGGGCTGCAGGATGTTGTTCCAAAGAAGGTTGGCGGCTGGCGGATAGAGAACGTATAAGCAGTGGCATCTCTAAAGATGTTCTATAGCTTTTTCAGCTTCTATAGCGCTGTCGCCCGGATTGAAGCCAGCTCATCCAGCATCACCGTTGCGAATATCGGTGTTTTCACGATACTTTCGTGGTGCCACTTGTATCGCTACCGATATTACGCAGGTGGCACGACGGTACGATAAACAAACGTCATCGTTTCGATACCGCGAAGGTTCCGAGACACTTACCCATGGCGTGGCCCTTCTGGCTGAAGTGGAAGCAGTCGTAGGTGACGTACGAAATGTCTATAACTTCGGTGCTCCACAGCGCGCGGTCTCGTGGCGCGTTGAATAACTTCATGAAGGGTTGAATGACGACAGTGAAGTCGTCTCTCGTGTCGTAGCGGCCGCTCTCGACCTGCGGCAATTTGCACACGATATCACTTTGGACGGACCGGAAGGTAGGCAGCCCATCGTGCACCGGCCTGAGGGGAGCTACCTAAGGGGACCTCCTGTTTTAGTGGTGGTGTTGGTGGTTCTATCAGAGAATGATGTACGACTGAGTTGTCTGGTTCTTGGTCTATTTCTTACACCCTAAACCAGCACAATTAGCATCCCACACTCACCGCTGCCTACTCGCGACTGCCCGTCTCCAGCGCCCCGAGGGCTTCCCTTGCCTCGCGGACCCTCGCCGCGGCCGCTGGTCGCCGAGCGGCAGGCGCGACGGAGGAGGGGTGCATTGCTGAATTGCACTTTCCGCCGCCGTCGCCTCTACCTCCCGCGCCGCGGATGTTCGATACTTATTGAAGCCCTCATTATCTACCTATAACACTCCTGTTGATCATCCGGGCGGGCCGCCGGCTCCACACAGCTGCTCGGCGGGTCAGCCTACCCAGCGCGTCGCAGGCGCTATCATTGCTGTTCACTGTAAATTCGGGGTGTCCAGCAACTGTGCGCCTTAAGGTGCCCGACCCTAAAACCTGTGCGACTTGCTGGACACCTTTTGGTTTGGCACCATTTTCCCTGCACAGGGGTCCAGGCCAAGCTTAGGTAGGGTGTCCTGTTGTTGGACACCCCCTGCTCGGGCCCCTCTGCAGGGAAAGGGCGCCAAACTACAAGGTTTACAGTGTAGCGTAGGCCAGTCGACTTGGAGGTGTACTCACGAGCTGCCTCTCGGCGTTCTGGAAGTCGCGCACCAGACTTGTGATGATGTCCATCTCGTCCGCGTTGCCGTCCAGGTGGAAGCACTGGCAGAAGAAACGGTGCAGCACACGGCACATGAAAGAGCGCTTCACCCGCAGCGACACGGACGGATCTGGACAAGGGAGAGGAAAGAGAACGTAAATAATCCCCAAAAATAGCAGCGGCAATTTTTCGGTGCGTATTCCGGGGAGTGAAGAGGGGGAGGGTCCCTTTGGCCTTCGGTGGACCTGTAGATGTAGAGGCTAGTGAGAGGGTAATTTTTTGGGGGTACAATACGCCTTACGTTAGAGTAGGCAAAATCCGTGCTGAGGGTGGACTGGATTTGCGCCTGTTTTGACCTTCGTCTTTTCTCTCTTTCTGTAATGCGACGTACCTATGACGGGAACGAGGTTGACGTAGGTCCGCGGCAGGTTCTGGTGCAAGTAGTCAAGGGCCATCTTCAGCTTGCGGCCGTGCTGGTTGGCCGAGGTGCCCTCACGGTCGTAGCATTGCGCAGAACATATGTCGTTGGCACCGAACAGCATCGTCACCATCTGCACCAACCAAAGGAGAGCATGAAAAATATCCAGATTAAACTGAATGAAATTCCTGCGGTTACTTCCTCAAACGAGATTTACGTCAGCACCGGTACCTTCCAATCGTTGTGAAAGTCGATGAAAGGGTCCTTTTTCATCTTCTTGACCAGGAATACGGCCTGCTTGTATGCGTCGGATGCAGCGCTCACGGGGAAGGCCACGTTCATGTGTGCGTTGCTGGCCAGAAACTCCCCCTTACCTGTCGAGTAGCCCTTGAGATTCGGGTTGAACTGCTTGAGGATGTTGGGCAGGGTCAGGAAGTGGCGCCAGTCCCCCTGTCCGCCTATTTCCCGACGAAACCAAACATGGTAATGAGGAGATTTATCAAAAACGACGATTGACACAACGATTGAGGGGATGCAGATCATGTCTCGTACCAGCGCACCAGGACACGCCGCGATACTCGATGAGCGTGCCCAGAGCGAACTCCTCCAGGGCGCCGTTGCCGGCCACCAGCGAGTCGCCCATGGCGCCGACGACGGCGATGTCGCCCGGGCGCAGCCGGTGCACGGAGGTGGGCGTCGTCCTGGAGCGACCGAAGGAAACCGCGGACGCATTGCACGGGAACGGCATGGAGGATGGAAAGAGCGGCTGCCTCCGAATACCGGACTGGTCCAGTGGCGAACCTCCGCCCGGCCCGGGGCCACCACGACTGGTCTGCAACGGCGAGGACATCGTCATGAGGTCGTACGTGACCGCGGTCAGGGCAAACAAAAAGGGTCATTTACATGCTTTTCAAAACGCGCATTTCCCCCCAGAGATATTTAAAGTGACGCGTGCTTTTGTACAGTGCAACAAATAGATGGTACATTCTATTAAAACGTGGAAACGAAGACCGACCAAAGGAAAAGAAACTAACACCCAAAATGATTTCCACGTCTCACCTGTCTAAACGGTCGCAGTATATCGTTATTAGCTAACGAACTGAAAAGCTGTGCGCTGGCGGGCGTCGAGGCAATGGCTAGGAGGAGGCCGGTGATGACAGCGAGCACGGCGACGACGCCCGGCAGGAGCGGCGGCGGAGGTGAACGCTGTCCCCGCATGGCCCCCATCCCTGTCGACAGAGAAAAGGGCGTAAAACATCGTTGTTGGCAAGGCCGGGCAAGGCGGATGATCGGACTCATGTCATGCCGTTATCACCCCCCGGATCCTCCAGAGGCTCGCCCCCTGCGATTGTGTCGGGGTCGGGGGCAACGGCACCGGAGCAGGCTTGTCACCCCGCGTGCCCCACGTGCGGCCCGAGGGCCTGCTTGTCTAGGTGCCGGTTTTACACTGCACCGCGACCCTGCTGTTGCATCAGGACGGCACTGCAACCGCGAGGCCGCCGCGGTCCGCCTGAGCAAACTCTCCTCCTCTCCCGCTCCGCGCGCTCTCGCGTCCTAAGCGGTTGGGCACACACACACACACGGAGGAGACTTCTCCAAAGAGTTCTTTTCGGCCGAGCGAAAGTGTGACATCACGCGGGGCGGGGCGGGGCACACAGCGAGCCGGCTCACACATATGTTTCCGCGCGGGGAGCCGCTGCGCACGCCGCGGCGACGCGCACTCCGGCGTCGTCGGAGGAGAGGAGGCCGTGATCGACGAGACACCCGTGGCGGCCGGGCCTCGGGCCGCGCACCTCCGTGACGTCAGCCGGCGGCGGCGGCGCGCCCGCGCGTCTGCGGCGCCCATATCATTATACAACACTTGAAGTGTTCGAGTAGTGTTTGGCGGCGCTGGTGCCGGTGTGGGGCGCGGGCGCCACTGATGCCACCAGATGCCACCTGGCGCCGCATCCAAGGGGCACTTCCAGCGTACGCCAATTTT